CTTATTTAATAAGAGAGATACGAACTTGATTACATTTCATAGCGGGGGACATTGTACCCAAATCGACTACATCTTGGTTAGAAATTGGGAACGATGGGCTTGCATTGACTGTAAGGTGTTCCCTGAAGAGGCATGTGAATCACAACACAAATTGTTGGTTTTGGTGTTCCGCGTACCCAACGGGCGGAACACTCATAGGAGGGCTAAACTGGGTAAACCTAGGATCCTCTGGAAGAACTTGCATAGAGCGACAACTGATGACTTTAGGAGTAAGCTTTTGTCTAATACAGGTTTTGAAACTACAAACTCAAATAACGCAGATATGTTATGGAAAAATATGGCAAATTCCATCAGAGAGGTGGGCAAAAACACCCTTGGGTTGTCGACGGGGAAGGCCAAGGAACATAAAGAATCGTGGTGGTGGAACGATGAAGTCCAAACTAAGGTGAAGAAAAAACAAACTTGCTTCAAGGAGTTTCTACAATGCAATGATGACGAAGAAAGGTCGAGAGCTAAACAAAGATACCAGGAGGCAAAGCGGGAAGCCAAGAAAACGGTAGCTAAAGCAAAGGATAAGGCATATGAGGTAATGTACAAGAGATTAGACACCAAGGAAGGACAAAATGGCATCTTCAGACTTGCAAAATCTAGGGAGATTAGGAAAAAGGATCTAGGTAACATTAGGTTTATTAAGGACAACAATGGTGTTCTTTTAACGAAAGATCATGATATTAAGAGGGTTTGGGGTAATTACTTCTTTGGATTATTTAATGACGGTGCCTCTCCTTGTAGAGATAGTATCGTTGATGGGTCAGGCGACCATCATACTACGGCCAATGACTGCCCTACAAGTTGGATTGGGTTTGAGGAAGTCAAAATGACTCTTAGAAAGATGGGAAGGGAGAAAGTTGTCGGTCCTGATCAAATTCCTATCACTGTGTGGTTAGCCCTAGGAGAAGAGGGAGTTAAGTGGTTGACTAACATCTTTAATATTATTTTAGAGACTGCCAAGATGCCAGAGGAATGGAGAGAGTCTACGGTGATACCAATCTATAAAAATAAAGGAGATTCCCAACGTTGTGGTAACTACAGAGGTATTAAACTACTCAGCCATACCATGAAGCTATGGGAAAGGGTGATAGAGGCTAGGTTGAGACAAGTTACTAGGGTTTCGGAAAACCAATTTGGCTTTATGCCAAGCAGGTCTACCACTGAGGCGATTCATCTACTTCGACGGCTTATGGAGAAATATAGGGAAAAGTCGAGAGATCTTCACATGGCGTTCATTGACCTTGAGAAGGCTTATGATAGCGTTCCCCGCGATACGATCTGGAAGACTTTGGAAACGAGACGGATCCCAACTGCTTATATCCGGGCGATTCGTGATATGTACTGTAGATCTATTACTTACGTCAAGACTACAGTTGGCGACACCGAGGCTTTCCCGGTGGAAATCGGACTCCACCAGGGGTCGGCTCTTAGCCCTTACATCTTCGCCTTGATTATGGACGACATCTATTGTGCGACACCAGACGATGTACCTTGGTGTATGCTTTTCGCTGACGACATTGTCCTAGTTGCTGAAACAAAATCTGAGTTGAATAGTAGACTGGCTACCTGGAAGACTGCTTTGAAAGAAAAAGGTTTAAGGATCAATATTGAAAAGACAGAATATTTATGTTCAAACTTCAATGGGAACCAAAAAGATGAAGATGTAGAAGTATGCATAGAAGGACACGTTCTTCCCTTAAAGGATTGTTTCAAGTACTTAGGGTCTATGATACATAAAGATGGGGGTGTAGATGATGACGTTGCACGCCGTATAAAGGCGGGATGGCTAAAGTGGAGGGCCGCTACTGGAGTTTTGTGTGACAAGAAGGTGCCTCTAAAACTTAAGGGAAATTTTTATAGAATGGCAATAAGACCAGCGCTGTTGTATGGATCAGAATGTTGGGCAACCAAGAAGGATCACGTAAGGAGGATAGAGGCCGCAGAAATGAGAATGCTTCGATGGACATGTGGTAGGACTCTGTGGGATATGACGACAAACTCTGCTATTAGGATGTCCTTGGGGGTGGGGTCTGTTTCCGAAAAATTGAGGGAGGGAAGACTACGGTGGTTTGGGCATGTCCTTAGGCGACTACCGTCGGATGCGGTCAGGAGGGTAGAGTCGATTACAGTCGACGGTGCCAGAAGGAAAGGACGACTAAGGCAAAAGTGGGAAGACTGCTTGAGATCTGATTTGATGGATTTAGGCCTTACCGAAGACATAACCTATGATAGGAAATTATGGAGGCTTGTGACTAGGGTAGTCGAGTAATGTGGGTCACATCTATAGGGTGTATCATCTCTGTCTTCTTTTAATGCATTTGTAGTAATTTCCATGACTTTTACTTCTTATACTTTTCTGTTATTGGTATTTATGAAAGATTAGAACTGGGCTTGCTATCGTTGACTTCTGTGTATCATTCTCGTCATTCTCGTCATGTTTCCTCTGTTAAATTTAGCCGGGTCTTATGTTTCTGTCTATATACAGAGATTCTTTCGCATGGATTATTTTGCAGGGATTACTCCCCATTACAGAAGCACATATGATATTAATGTCTGCATATGAATATTGTTTAGCTATGTATTTATGTAATTATTTATACATGCATTGCATTTTATCTATATTTTTAATTTTCTGACTGCCGGAGGTCTTCCACAGAAGCTATTCTCAACCTGGCGTTGGGGGCAGCCTACTACCCTACCTCCCCCTTACCCTATACATATGGGAATTGGGTTTTGTTGTTGTTGTTGTTGTGAATAGAACGTTATTTTTTTGTGCCCTTGTAGTTTTTTAGGATTTTCCTTATTAATCCATATCAATCTATGTCGTATATCTAGTTTTAATAGTCGAGTTTTCCGATAGAGAGTTTTTGTATACAAAAGATTTCGAATTTGAGATCTGCTTAAGCGATATCAAACTACTTAATTTTTTTGAATTAATCACTGGTTTTATCGACTTCCAAATCGGATACTGCAGAAGTAAGGATAACCATCACAATTCAATTTCTACTATTCGTAAGCGTAAGAGTTTAAACCATGCATTGACACACTAAAAAAGAAAAAGAAAGGTGGGGGTTTCTGATGAGAATGGAACCGTATGCTTACCATTATACGACATATTCACTAATTTCACTTCAACGTTTCTTGCAAGTTGCAATCTTTGTTTATCGTCACAAGGACCACTTCAATTTTTATAGTTTTTGGAATTATTTGTTAGGTCCTTTCCCTTTTGATGAGGGATCATTGTCGTCATTCATATATGAAAATGCAAAAATAATCGTAGAGAATATATGTATATATATATATATTTATATATGAAACTGCAATGTATTTGTAAAGCTTTCTTATGCAACGTAAGCTTTCTTATGCAACGTAAGTAGAAGTAGAGAGCATAACATAAAACTAAAATTAAGGGAAAATATATTGATTTTCTACTGGAAAAAATGTTTTCTTTTGATCATTCAAGTGGGGTTTCAATATGAAAGTAAATCCTGGATGTCACATCTCCATATCTTATCTTCATGTGTTGTTTTACTCTCTCATCTGGTTGATATCTGGGGAGGATGTCCTGTTCCAATCATAAACACCCCATAGTCATACTCACAAATATATAGGGATTGCATTGTAACCAGAGATGAATATTTAACTCGAATTCAATGAGTTTTGATTCGTTTCAATTTAATTAGGTTAATTTTTTGTTTAAAAAATTAGGGTTCAAATTAGGTTGCGGCAAGTTTATTTTAGGGTGAGGTTAAGTCTGGTTTAAATTTATGATGAAAAAATTGACTCACCCGATGGACATAATTTTATAAATATCCCTTCTATATTTGGAAATAATTGAAAAATAGCCTTTTTATTTTATTTTCTCAATTAAGTATTTATTTTACCTAATAAAAACAAATTCTATATTTAGGTTAGGTCAAGTCGAGTCAGCGTAAATTTTAACCTAAAAAATTGAGTCAAATTTCAGATTGGGTGAGATTCTCCTGCATCATGAGTGTTGCAGTGTGGAAGAATTTACTTTTTGGATTGAATTCGAGGGATTAAAAACTCGATTTGACCCAACTTATGGCCATCATAATTGTAATTACCATTAGAGTAAACTAAATCAGATACCATCGAACTTTAGGTATTATATCGTTTATACCACTAAACTTTCAATTTTCCCAATTATAGCATTAAACATTGATTTTCATTTCAATTATACCATCGAACCATTAAATCATTAACAACACGATGAGGTGGCTAACGGTTGTCAATGTGGTTGACGGTTGTCAATGTGGTTGACGGCTGTCAACGTAGACAGCTCACCAAAATGACGTCGTTTTGATCCAACTGTTAACGATTTAACGGCCCAGTGGTATAATTGAAATGAAAATAAAAATTCAATTCTATAATTGGCAAAATTAAAAATTTAGTGATATAAATGATACAACGCCTAAAGTTCGGTGGTATCTAGTGTAGTTTACCCTTGCCCTAATGAATGTCCAAGTCTTTTTACACACCATACATGAGAATATTTATAAGAACCTATATAAAAGAAAAGGTACTATATGGACGAAATAAAGGTGGGAAAAAAAGATTGCATAAGGAAGTGTTTAATCATTATAAAAGTGGATTAAGTGGACATGAAGTTAAGAACTGCTTGCCTACTTAGGGCCCCTTGTTGTTATATCTTTAATTAATGATAGATAAGACCCATGAAATGAAATCCCACAGTATTCGACAGCTTGCATGGGGCATTTTCTTGTTAATCTATTGGTGTCTGGTTATAGAGTAATACAAGTAGGGCACGTGCCAAGTGGTCGACCTTACTTTATCAATGCTTTGTTCATCTGTCTCATTTGAAGCATCATAAAAATCAAGTTGCTATGAATATCTAAACAGGCATGCTTGACTAGTATCTCAGTATTTTATTAATTGTTATCTAAATGCATTGCTTACCATGTTTCTTAATAAAAGTGGTAGGTGGTTGGACCCTTCTGGCTCGACAAGATCGAACCAGTAGGCGTTGATGGTGGGGAGTCCTCCACCTGGTGGGACTCTAGGTTCATACCAAATAACCGCACCAGCCTCTTTGAATTCCCACCTCTTGTAGCTTGCTTTTGATCTTCAACAATGCTTCCTGCAAAAATTATTGTTTTCTCAAACTTGATAATCACTACTTCTCACAATTTTTTATTTTTATAATTATTTTGATTTCGATGTGGAAAAAATTACTAACATAGATGGACACAAGATTTTATACTAGAAAATACGGATTTAAGAATTTATATTAAAAATTTAAGGGTATAAAATTTTTAAAGGTACTATACATATATTGTATGAAAATTTAAAATTTACTCCAATATCTCTCATTCCATCCAAATACTTGAAACCATTGAGAGATTTTTTTTAATACTTCTTAATTAAAGAAAAAGACAAAAGTAATATCGATATTTATTTTGTAAATATAACATCTCTATTCAATAAAAAAATTAAAAGTAATAAAATCATTTAAAAAAATATGTATATATATTAATAAATTCCAAAATCAATTTTACTAATATTTGCCAATCCCAATACTAAAGTATTCCCCAAAATAGTATAATTTAAAAAGAAGCTAGTTAGAAAAAAGAACACTTACGCAACCATATTGCTCCCGTATAATTGGAAAGTGTCTTTCACGCACTTCTATGTGCCAATAAATTCTCAAATTTTATATATAAAACAACTGAAACCCATTTTTTTTAAAAAGAATTAATGTATAAAAAATTCAAGGGCTAATTGATGAATTAAGTCAGAAAAAAAACCCTATACCTGCATGGAAACAGTCTGCTTGCTTCAGCACATTAGCCCCAAGGCCTTGAATGTAGCCAAGATAAGGATGCCCTCGATACAATTCCCTACCACTCCACCCTCCATGTCCACCACTATTATCACCCATCGCGTCATTTCCGCCATTCGTAGCTGCTGCTGCAACCACCACCGCGGCATCCCGCCTCCTCCACCCTATAAACAACCTATCACCATCGGTGCGGTGTCGTTGGAATAAAATAATATCACCAGCATCGAGTTGCTTCTCTTTGACGTATCTGCTCCACCCTTTGGTTAACACGTAGCTTTGACTGTTGTTCCAATACGAGTAACGGAAACTCCAACACTTGCCGGACTCGTCCTCGAAACTCAGCAACAACCCCTGGTTATCACCCGAGTCACCGCCGAGCGGGAAGTATTTCTCTGCGTGTTGTTTGGGGATTACAAGCCTGTTCAGCTTGCCAACATCGCTGGGAGTTAAGTGTTTTTCAAACATGGGTTCCCTCTCATTTTCAAGGGGATTGGAAGGATTTGGTTCCATGGAAGGATCTTGTAGTCGTTTGATTGTTTTGCCTTCAATTACTCAAAGTGGTTAATGGACATTTGAGAGACAAAAGAGATGAGGAAGAAAGAGACGGGTGCTTTAGAAGAAAGAAAAGAAAAAAGGAAAAAAACAGGGCAGGCGTGATGATTATGAGTTTGATGTGGAAACTATTTAATGCAGTTAGAAAGGATACGAGAATGAGAAAGATAGGAACCAAGCGATCTAGCTGATGCAAGAATTATTGTTATTCTTTAAGTATTTGGGTTGATTATCGAGAATGCAGAAAGTGTGACGTTCATTTGAACGGATATTAACCCATATTTACCCTAAATTATTAAAATAATGAGTTTATTTTTAGAGATAATATGCTTCATGATTATTTACAAAAAGAGAAAATCGCCTCAGTGACCAAAAAAAAGTTATAATATACGATTTTAACCAACTTTTTTTGGATTTGCCAAAATGACCAACAAAATCGCAACGCGAAATAAAAATCGCAACGCGATCCCCAGAATCGCAAATCAGTTTCCAGAATCGCAAATCAGTTTCCAAAATCGCAACGCGATTCTTGAAAATCGCGATGCGATAGTACAAATTCGCATTGCGATTTTCCAAAATCGCAACGCGAATATGAAAATCGCAACGCGAACACATAAATCGCAACGCGTATCCGTAAATCGCAACGTGTATCCGTAAATCGCAACGCGTATGGGTAAATCGCAATGCGTATCCGTATATCGCAACGCGTATCCGTAAATCGCAACGATAATACATAAAATCGCAACGCGTATCCGTAAATCGCAACGCGATATTTAAAGCGCCATTATAATCGCTACGCGTATTTTATTTTCAAATTACAAAAAGAATATTAAGACAAAATCCCGTAATCGCAACTCATAACCTAAAACCTAAAATCACAACTCAGTCCCATCTCCATCTCTCACTCTCTACGGCGAAGAAATCCGTCCCCATCTCCGAAGATTTCCGTCCCCATCTCCGGCGAAATCCCTCACAACCATTCACGGTCAGAAATCCCTCACAATATTCAGAAATGGAAAATCAACCTCCGAGGGTTAGTTTTTTTAATTATTTTATTTTGAAATGTTTGCATTATTGTAGGTTTTTCATATTGAAACTGATGATAAGTTTACTGGTCATTTCAATAATAGATTAACCATTTCACTTAGATTTCATTTCGCGTTACGATTCTCTCGTTGCGATTTTCATTTCGCGTTGCTATTCTCTCGTTGCGATTTTCAAGTTAGTATTGTCTTTGTCTTTGTTCTGTCTTTTGGTTGAAGTAATGCAATCCATTCAAGTTTCAATTTGCAGAAGAGTCGCAACGAGATAAATGAAAATCGCAACGAGAGAATGACTGTCGCAACGAGAGAATCGCAACGCGAAATGGAAATCGCAACGAGAGAATCGCAACGCGAAACCAAAATCGCATTGCGATTTTCATTTCGCGTTGCGATTCTCTCGTTGCGATTTTCATTTCGCGTTGCGATTCTCTCGTTGCGATTGTCATCTCGCGTTGCGATTCTCTCGTTGCGATTTTCATTTCAACCAAAAGACAAAACAGTGTTGCAAATTTTAGTTTAAAGAATAAACTACTACTTTTTATGTTTATTGTTTTTGGTATATCTTCACAGTGTAGTTTTTGGTATATCTAACTTGGTATGTTTATTGTTTTTGTAGAAATTTTTTTCGGCTCAATTGACCTTGAGAAATAAAGTCAGCCTGGCCACTACAATTGCAAAGAAGCTTTCACCTGCTCAAAGACAATTGTTTGAGGAAACCTGCTTCGGGCCATGGCTGAGAGTACAGCATCCGGTGGAGATGCTAATTTGACCCATTTGTGGCTTCAGACCATGACATCAAATCTACCCGACAGTATACAACGTGGTGAGGAAGAGATATGGTTTCATTTTCCACCAGCGTATACTTGCTTTGGGCGGAAGGAGTTCTGCTTAATCACTGGTCTACGATTCGGACACGATGATGTAGGCCGGTACACTCGTCATATCGCCCGCCCATCATGGTTATCCCGGTTTTTTCCGGATGAGTCAATGGAGAAGCCGAACCTACATGTCGACGACCTGAAGAAATTATTTAATAAGAAAGCTGGTTTCACTCGGATGGAAGACGTCGATGTTGTCCGAGTATGCCTTCTACTACTTGTGTATGCCGGCTTTTTAGGCAGAGAGGCCAGACAACCTATTCATCGGGAGCTAATAATATTGGTAGAGGACCTGAATGCATGGAATCTGTTTCCGTGGGGTTCGTATATATGGAAAGCTACCTGGACTAAGTTGTCGTCTGCCTTTGATGACCGCAAAAGTTTGCGGGGCGATGGGTCCAAACACTTTGTCAGGCTTTGTTTGGGCCTTTAAGGTAAGAATTTCTATATAATGTTTCTAAAATTATAATTAATTATTTAACAATTACTAATTTTGTTATTATATTGTTTGTAGATTTGGATATTCGAGGCTTTCCCCAGCATGCGTACATATGCAATAAAAACGTCAAATGATATTCCCAGGGCTATTTCCTGGAAGAGGAAAACTCTGTTGGATTGGGAAGACTTAATACCATATGCCACAATAAATAATGTAAGTTAACACAAATACTTTCATATAATATATAAACAAGTTATTAATAGTAGACGTTTAACTTTGTTTGAGTTTTTATATTTTAGGAGGCCAACATTCCATTACAAAGACTGACACCCACGGAGGAAGAGCTTGCCACTGATTGGTGGCAAGCTAGTCAGAATTTTTTTGATGGCACGGATGATGAGCAGCATCCACTTCCTCCAATTCGAGAGCCATCACCTCACCTAGAGCCATCACCCGATCGACCCGACTATACATCTCTAGAACGAGAGCCATCACCTATCCCGTCACATCATCGAGCCTCTTCTCCACCATCACCTCATGATAGGCGACCGGCAAAGATGCCACGACTCCTATCTCCCTGTTCTCCACCTCCACCTCAACGGGATGAGTCAAGGGAGTTACGTGATGAGGTCAATGCCTTGCGTGAGGAGATCGGTACTCTACGCGATAACGATGGTGCATGGCGTGTGGAGGTGTCAACTTTACGTGGTGAGGTTGCCGCTCTACGTGAGATGATAGTATCGTTGCAGAATGAGGTTCATACTCTACGCAACGAGGTAAGTTTAAGATTTTCCATATTTAACTTAATGATAAATTTACTCGTAATTTCACTTAGATTAGCCATTTCACTTAGATTGCTTAGTAAATTTGTTCGGTTGCTGCCAATTCTGCTAAACTGTGTATTCTTTAACACTGTGAAATAGTATTTGTCTTTGTTTTGTCTTTTGGTTGAAAGTAAATTTGTTCGGTTGCTGCCAATTCTGCTAAACTGTGTATTCTTTAACACTGTGAAATATATTTGTCTTTGTTTTGTCTTTTGGTTGAAAGTAAATTTGTTCGGTTGCTGCCAATTCTGCTAAACTGTGTATTCTTTAACACTGTGAAATAGTATTTGTCTTTGTTTTGTCTTTTGGTTGAAAGTAAATTTGTTCGGTTGCTGCCAATTCTGCTAAACTGTGTATTCTTTAACACTGTGAAATAGTATTTGTCTTTGTTTTGTCTTTTGGTTGAAAGTAAATTTATCCATTCAAGTTTCAATTTGCAGAAGAAGAAAGTTTACTTTCGCAACACGAAACTTAAAATCGCAACGCGAAATGAAAATCGCAACGACAGAATCGCAACGCGAAACCAAAATCGCAACGACAAGATCGCAACGCGAAACCAAAATCGCATTGCGATTTTCATTTCGCGTTGCGATTCTTTCGTTGCGATTTTCATTTCGCATTGCGATTCTGTCGTTGCGATTTTCATTTCGCGTTGCGATTTTGGTTTCGCGTTGCGATTTTAAGTTTCGTGTTGCGAAAGTAAACTATTTCTTCTTCTGCAAATTGAAACTTGAATGGATTGCATTACTTCAACCAATAGACAAATCAAAGACAAATACTAACTTCAGGGTATTAGTTTGAAACATATTTTTCTTTGTTATCTGATGCATTTTGTGAACTATGATAGAATAATGACTTGGGTGAATACAATGCAAGTTTGAAACATATTTGTCTTTGTTTTCACTGTTTAAATATCATGTCTGTTTATTTACTGATTTTTGTATTTAATTATTTAGCGGCCCGATAGAGTGGATGCTTTACGTCGGGTTATGCTTGCACGACGGAGTTCACGCATCAGACAGCGTGCACGTGCTATTAAGTCTCCGTACACCCCAATAGTGCGAAGACACCGCAAGAAGAAGCCCGACTCGCCTGTCATCCCTCAAGAGTCCACTCCTATCGTTGAAGAGGCCCCCCATATCATTCCTCGAGAGTCCCCTCCCACCGTTCAAGAGGCAACTGTCATCGTTGAAGAGGTCCCTCCCACCATTCCAGAGCCCGATTCACATGGGGTAATATATCGAAGTATTGAGAAACCCCCACCGGTTCCGGACATGATGGATGAGAGTTGGCTCTCGTATGAGTTACCGGCCAGTACCATACCGGTATCTGAAGAGGAGAGGGAACAACTACCGGACACAATTTTGGATAACACCCTTTGGGCTAAGACCGCAGTTGATTTTTATCTACATGAGCGGAGCAAGGGGTGTTTCACTGACATATGCAAGCTCACCGATGATATCTTTTTGTTGCTTGAACGGCCTTGGTGGGGCGTATTATTAGGGGTCGAAGACAATGGCTATTTCGATGGGGGGGTAAGTCTTATATTTTTCTTATATTTCAATTTGATTAATTTTTTTTTTAAATTTATGTAAGTCACTAATATATGTCTTTTTTTGTAAAACAGCATATCGATGCGTGGGTGACACGTCTTCTAATAATAAGAAAACTTAAGAAAAATAAAAATATACGATATACAATAATGCCGACGTCTTTTCACGCCGTTCACTTGAAGAATGCACGAGATGAATCATTTGATTTGGGCAATGGACAAGCTAAACTTTATCCTGCATGGTGGGAGGTCGATAAGGTTAGTATTTATTTTAGATTGAGTTTAAAGGTTTTATGAAATAAGTGCGCAAATGAATGAATTATTACTTATGATTGCAGGTGTTTATCCCTGTTTTGGAACGTAAACATTGGATTCTCGTCGAGCTTCAGCTCCCATCCCTTAAGACAATAGTGTAT